TAAAGCCTTCAGAAAGCCACAAAGGAGTTTGACGTCTTTGAGAGACCTCAAGACAATTTCAAAAGCTTCAAAGGAGATCTGGCCTCTTGAAAGGGAAATATGAAGACATGAATCATGACGCACTGTGTTGTTCTTAATGCTTTTTGAGATCACTAGCATCACATGACGTAACTAAACTCAGTTGGCACTACCTAAACAAACATTATACAAATGCATGATGCAACAGAGTTCACACATGCCTGCATATTCATACGCAGGACTCCAATTTCAATTTACATAGCATAAATGATTTCATGCACGTTGAAAGATAAAAGTTGAAACCTCCAGAGAAAAAGGGGCTGGTGTGTGTGTCACAAAATGGGGCAAACAAGAAGAGGCGGGGACGAGGGCGAGTCTCAGCAGGTGGTTTAGGGCGGCTTGGCAATGTCACCGTGTCATCTACATGGAAACATGGAGCGGGCAGACTCTTTTGGATTATTAGGCAGTTGTCAAGGCAATGATGACATGAATGCTAGGTTTGATGGGAACACGGTGTGATGAGTCCGAAAGGCAGCAAAAAGCGGCTGGACAATCAGCCGAGAGCCGCCGAGGCGAAAGGGCCGGCTGGCCGGCCGGCCGGCGTGGGGTTGTGGGTAAAGCAACGTTGGGTGAAGGAGAGCAGCAGAAAGATGAATTGGAGAAACCTGAAGCTTTTTTAGTTTTCTTTCTTTTTTTTTGGACAAACCTCTGTTGAGTCTATTGGCTTGTTTTTCTCTCGAATTCTGACTCACCTCCCTTGCATCGCCACTGGTAGGCTGTGGAAACAATCCGAACGCGCTGCTCCATGTGTGACATGTTCATACACGCAGACGCACATGTTGAGAAGGGAGAGAAAGGGGGGGTTGGCTTATCAAATGTTGAGGATTGAATTCAGTTAGCCCCAACGGGATTGGGTTAGGAGATGTCAGAAAGATAGATGGGCAGAGTGTAACAACACCTCAGCCCTGCAACACCCTTCAAATTGTTTTGCATATATGTGTTTATCATTTGTATCACACCCAGCTATATATATAGGAATCCAAAACATTTTAAAGAGATTCTTACAGTACAAGAAACGAGAAATAAGGAAGTTCATATCGTGAAGAATAATGCAATTGTCCCGCATAGATGTGCATTTCTATAACATCGTTAGTATCCGTAGCAAGCATCGTGTGCACGCTGCACAGTGCCAGAGAGTAGCGACTGTCACCAGATCCACAAATATTAAGCAATATCAACCCAGCCAAGGTGATGGATGCTTTTGGGAGCACGAGTAGCTGTTGAACACATCCCTCTGGTTTTTGTCCTGGAGGAGACTGTGTCCATTTACCTCCACAGCATCCCCACGGATCTCCTACGCTGAATAAGGGAGCTGTAATCTAATGTAGGGCTGTTCTCAGTCAAAGACGGCAAACAAAGGGGTAAAGCATCCAAACGGGCTCCTAAACTCGTTGATGAAGACAAAAGGGGGATCGGGGGGAGAGTTAAGGTGTCAGTCATTCTTCCAGCACTTAATGCATGTATCATAACAACATGGTCTGTCCACATGTTGTTATGATACAGGACAAGACAACTGTGAATCTCGTCCTGTTTCTTGCCACTGCCATCTCTCACAATTACAACTTAAAATACTTATCAAAACCTTCGCCACAATTAAAACTAGAACATCCCTCCAGAGTACACCATTATACTGACAACATACATGACTAAGCAGTTTGACTGTCTTACCTGCAAACAATGTCATTCATTGACACATGTATGAACTAAGGATTTTGAGAGAGTCTGGCTTTAGCAGGTAAAGCGACTGAGAAAAAATATCACATACTTTGCATATTTTACTGCATTTTTAAGAAAACTGTGCTAATAGTTATGAATGTGATAATCCTAATACAAAACATTTATATTGTTGCATGCCTCATGCGAATACGTCTCAAAATTGGACATGCTGCTATTTGAATCTCTGGACAGTGCTGTGGTAATTTATTGATTTGCAAATAGTTACGCAAGCCAATTGCTCTGCTTTTCTTCTTTCTATATAATCTTCCCATTTACAGACACACCTGCCTGCATTTACACTGCGTAGCCTTGGCTGGTGCAGATTAAAGATGTCATTATGCCATCGCATCAGGTGCCAACGCTATGATTTCCTTAAAAACTTCATCGCTTGACCACATATTATGACACCCTTTTTTTTTTTTCTAATGTCCATCCTTGTGCACCCCCACACAGACACTGTACCTATATATATATGATTGTGAATGAGCCTGTCTGATCTTCCCTCCAGAGAGACTGATAGACTGTGATGCCCTGCAGGAACAGCTAGCCATACGTGTCCATAGCTGCCTCCATATCATGGCCTGGGGCAACTACTCAAGAATTCCTCTCTGAATACAATGGACTCAGTCTGACACACACGTACACACTCTCATCCAGCAACCCACTGTCAAAGCTCCTGTTCAGTAATGAATTTTTAGAACTTGGAAAGCTCCTTCTGATACACTTCAAACAGGTACTAACACAAAAAGACAGCCATACCTTTATCTTGCCCTACCTTCATTGTCTGCTTCTGTGTTACCTCATAATGCCCAGACAAAGGGCATTTGTGAATTCATACCGTTAAAAAAAAAAAAAAGAAATCTTTGTACTTTATTGTATTCTAATTTCGGTTTTAGGAACATGAAACCAGTTACGTCAGCCCCAGTGGAGCGGCTTTCTGCATATTTAGCGTGTTTCCCCCCCCCCCTCTCCTCGTCCTCTGGCTTTTTGGATGGATTTAATGTCTGACAGTGTCTTACTTGTAGAAAAGAGTGAATCGCGGGGAGAACAGGAAACGCATATGAAGACGTGCCAATCACCTTCTTAGCGGAGGCAGAGAAGCACGAGGACAGAAGTGATGCTGCGGCAGCTCTCACACCCAGCTTTTGAAAAAAAAAAAAAAACTCTTCTGTCACTGTCGGTTGTCGTCTCCTGCAAGTACCTGCTGCTGGAAGACGCACAAAAACTCAGATAGAGATAGAGAGATCCAATCAACAGTAACAAAAGAAGATAGAAAATTAAACAGCTCAGTTGATTGCTCACTAAGTTTTTGCATTTGCTCATCTTTCCACCAAACGCTAAATACAATTTTCAGTTTTGTATTGTTTTTTTTTTTTTGTTTTTTTTTATTTCTGTACTTCTTCAATTCAGCAAAGGAATCCAGCTGCTCACCACATCAAAGTCCTTCACTGCTTTTCATTGGCATTGTTTTGACACATATTTTCATACTGGATTTACACATACTTGTTTATTTCACATTTTGTCTCAGATCAAGTTTGTTTGACTGTCAATTTAAACTCGTGTTTACACGTGAAAGCCACAGTCTTCCCCACACTTTGAAGGGGCTCTTATAAGACTTTAGAAAAAAACCCCAAAAAAAAAACATTTATTTATTTTTAGACTGATACAAAAGTGAGGCCTAAAGCTACCGTCACAATCAAACTGTGTTGAGGTTAAGAAAAGTATTTTGGGTGTGCAATGCAATAACTCAATTTAATATCAAATCTATCTAGATATTAGGGGTTAATGGCTTTTTTTATTAATTCCTGAATGGTCACTTACGGGCGAATCTAATTCCTTCCCTCATCCAGGTAGAGGGTTGCTCTTAACGATGATTCTGTGTTAGGATCCACAACAAAAAAGAGGTAGATAAAGATATTTTCTAAAACTCAGGGCAGTATTAAAATTTTTGGGTTAGTCACTTTCATCTTAGTGTTTTTTTTGTGTGTGTGAAAACTTCTTTGATTTTGATAGTTTATTGGTTTGAGTTGCACCTCCTGTTCTAATAATTTGGGGTTTTCTATAATAAACATTTTCAGCTCCTACTTTACCACTTTTTTTATGCTACCACTATTGATCCTTAGCTTCATATTTTCTGTTATTGACATAATATGGAGATGATTTTCTGGCATCCAGAGGTCTCGTTAGACTCTGTGATACTGTTTCAAATATCTTCGAATTTGTTACTCAAAATGTGAATTAACAAGTCGACATTTACGTGAGAAACGTGAGTAAAATCAAATCAGCCAGTACGACTGGATTGATCTGATTAATACATTTCTGGATGCAAATTTGTGCAACATGTGGAAAAGATTAAAGTGATTTGTGATTTTTTTTTTACAATTTCAGCTTCAGATTCTTGATTTCTGGCAGTAAAATTGGAACATGCCAGTATTTTTTTTTTCTTTCTTTGTTTTGGTAAATTACCACCGTGAGCTTGCGCCCTGTTGTGAAGTGGGGTCAGATGTTGGTAAAGGTATCTGCATGTGTTCCAGTTTCTGTCAGAGATGTATTTGAGGCCAGGGTGATGTAGAGTAGTGTAAATATAAAACCCTGACTTCCTGCTGTCTCCTCCATTATGGCAGCCACAGTAACATAATCTGCCCGAGCACCACAGCTGCTCCGTCATCCTGCCTCTCTTTTTTAACTCGATTCCTCCTCTGCTGAGCCCAACTGCTGCTTCTTTGTCACCTAGATTCCCTTTCTGCATTTTATCCTTCCTCCTTACCTTTGTTTATGCATTGATAGTCTTTGCACACATGCGGAAAAGGAGGGGGGAAAACTGAAAAAGATAAATAATTTTTTTTGTAAATTGCGCAGCTGTGATAACCAAAGTTACATTCTCTCTTTCTGCGTTTTTTTTTTTTTTTACTTGACCTTGTGCTTGGAGGGTATTTTCCAGTCAGCAGAACGCTTTATCTCTGAGAGTAATAATCAATAAGGATAATTAATGATGCCCGCTGCAATGATAGCCTCAGCAGTCATCGCCATGCATTAATCCATGCAGTCAGAGGAGGGTCAAGGCCGGCTGCATCGCTCACCTAGAGGCGTGGCACAAATTAAAATAATCTACACACTCGCTGCTCTGTCAGGCCTTTTCTGATGCGTTCGCCTCCATCGGGCCGTAATTAAAGATGGCCCATTGCTAGGCGGCAGGGCGCCTGGATGACAATCCACTACGATGTCTCTTTAATATACAACACTTAGCCCAGAGGATGACACCAACAGCAATCTGTAGGAACTCATCTCACCTGCGAGAGCGTGGGAGGTGGGAGGGCTCTTCTTCTTCTTCTTCTTCTTCTTCTTCTTCTTCTTCTTCTTCTTCTTTTTTCTTTTCTTTTCTAGATATACCGAGACATAAATCAAACGCACAACATGCAATTTTCTAATAACGCTGCACCATCAGAAATATGATTTAGCAGCAAATATAATTTGGTCTGTGTGTGAGACACATGAAGTGAATGTACTATCGTTGCAGTGACGCTGTGCTTAAGGAATAAGACACAACATACGACACGTTTTAGCCGCTAATTGGGATAACTCCCGACACCGGAGACTGTCGTGGTGTCTTATTATAAAGCCATAGCACTCGATTCAAGAGTTTACCTTCAAGTATAAATGTCAACCTTTATGCTACAATATGAGGGGGGGAGAGTACAAATCGCACTCCCGTCTCATTTTTTGTTATATTTCAATTTGATCCCTTAAGAATGTGTACTTCCTGACTTGCTTGCTTCTGATTGGCTGTAGCACCCCATCCGAAAGAGAGGTGGCGGCATAGCCTCCACCTCTACAGCCGGTTGTCACGACTGCTTACAGTTACAGTGCAGAAGCTGGGGGGGAAATTCAGCTTGACTCCATAATTCATGGGTGACACTTTTGCTGTACTTAAATTCTAAGGTAAAAAAAAAAAAAAAAAAACTGAAAATGTGAGATTTAATTTCCTCTGAACATTTAATTTATATATATATATATATATATATATTTATATATATATATATATATATATATATTTATTTATTTATTTATTTTATTTTTTTTTAGGCTTGGCTGGCGTCCAAACGTGGGGGAGTGCCGAGGGGCAGAGAGGAGATGTTTAAGCAAGAGCTTGCTCTCGCTGCCAGCAGAGAAGTGGAGGGAATCCATAATAATGAAAAATGCATTTTATCCTCAGCTGCCATTCCTGCTTTCCTGCTTTCTGAGAAACGTTGCGGCAAAGATGCAAGTGTGTGTTTGCGAGACGAAATAAGGTGGACGTCACATTGAGCATCCGCGCGCAAAGTGAGAGATAACTACATCAAAAATAATAATAATGAAAAAAAAAAAGAGCCTCAGCTACATCTAGCTGGAAGTTATCTTTGAATGATGAGGAGAGTCAAACTGGCAGGAAAAGGAAGAGCACTTGATCATGATTGACAAGCATTGGTTGTGTCTCCCTCCTACGCGCGATTACGCCATCCTGATCTATCCTCCAGTAGCACTCTCACCTTCAGCTCTGTTTTGGTTGAAGTGAGGAGGCGTGCAGGCATTGCACTAGCAGCTCATGTGATTCTTATCAAGTCCATCACATCAAGTTAACTTCTGGTTTTTTCTCTCTCTTTTTTTTTTTTTACTTTAAATATCCATCATATTGAACTTATTACTGGTCATGAAACTAAAGGTGCCTGCAGGGTAAGCTATAAACTCCCACAGAGGAAAGTCAGAAGGAAAGACACATGTTCGCTCTGCTAAAGGCAAATGTCAAACACACAACGACGCGTGCAATGAAAATCTAGGAAATGTTCTCTTTCAAAGGATTCATCTCTGTAAGTGATCCCCTTGATTATTTTCTGTGAAATTAGCAGTGAAGATGAATGTTTTGCATGCTGTCTGGATGGAGTAAACACTGCCAACATGTTTCAGGAACATGGACAACATGTTAAACATTTCCCAGCAGGCCCACTCGTCACCGTGACATTTATATTACGGCTTATTTTTATCCCTGTGATTAGTCGAAAAAGTATCTCAGCCATTTTTTTTTCTTCTTTTACCACTGGACAGAAGCTTCATGTCACTGAAAATGTAACTTCCCAGGTGATTTAAAAAAAAAAAATCTATCTTCTAGTTCAAAATTGGGATTGTTTGGTTAAAGTGCATTTCTACTCTTTACTGGTAATTTTTCCAAAAACAACAATGGCATATGATGCAATGGATGACCAGCACAGCTGACTTTCTCAGGACAACAGAAATGACTAAAAACTGTCAGACATTCACTATGATTAAGATGTAACACTGCTTTGTAATCATGTCTCATTTTGACACAAAAGGTGTGAAAACACTTTTTGTATGGATCCAAACAAACAAACAGCAGTTTGCAAAAGATCTAGTGCTGAATACATGTTTACCATGTATAATTCACAAATGTTGAGTTTACTGAGATTAAGGTAGATTTATCGCTGATGTCAGCATCTTGTTTTTCCTGTAACGGATGACTGCCTGACTACTTTGGACAAGTGCTCAAATTATTGCTAGATGAACTAATAAGAGAATAGACCTAACTCCTCTGCTAAAACCACTTCAACCATTAAGCATTTTTCTTTAGCACAGACAGAGTGTCTGCATTGTTTCGTCTGAGAATAATAAATGTTAGTAGGTTATATGGCTCGCAGCATTTGCACAAGAATTATGTAAAGTGCACAACAGTGGAATGAATGTGTGCTACATACAATATCTGTTCACAAGAGACCTGATTATGTACATATGCTGCAGAATCCAAAGTGTTGAAAGGGTGACGCTGGAGAGCAGTTTACTTAATCCTTTGTATCTTTATACACAACAGAAACGCTGTGATTTTTAAAGAAAAGAAGTTTCCTTATGGAATATAAAAGTAAATCTAATATGTTGTCGCATGCTAAATGTAAGCACAATAATACCAACCAAAGTGAATGGATAAAATTGTAAAGAGATCTAAAAGAGATCAATAGATGATCCACTTCGATCTGCAAAGGCTTTGTTGCTTTTACTTTTGAGCCTAAAACTTGTAATATAAAAAAACAGCAACTGATTAGTGTTTTTAATTCAGGTAAATAAAGTGGAGAAATACCATTAAAATCTTTCTTTACAAGCAATGACGCTTTTGAACCAGATCCTGAAATGACCAGGAAAACCTGAATAATAGTGGATGTGTGTCTGCCTGTGGTCCTGTGCACACCTTTGTCCCGGCATCAAACTGGTCACTACAGTTCCTAATATTGCTGAAACCCTGACAGCCAGTTAATTAGAGCAGACATCAAGCCGCCCGGGATTCATTTGACTATCAGCCACTTACTCTACAATTTCCTGCCTGAATTGAAGGGTTTAACTATCGCTCACCCAGGCGGATCGGAAGTTTTCCTTCATCTCCTAAATAAAGGGTCCATGGCGCACCTGTGCTAAGCCTTCCCAGCACCAGAATACATATATTTTATGATAACAAGCTGAAGGTGTGATTTGAGACACATACCGACATCAAAACCTACAACAACCAAAAGCTCTAACATCTCTTTTTTTTCTTTCTTCTTAAAGCTGCACCCATGCAATTTTATTATTATTTTTTTTTTTCCCCACTTTGCGTGCACACGTATGTCTGCGATTAGAGGTTTTAAACGTCCGTGTGCCCGTGCGCCCTCGTCTGCAAGTGTGTGTAGCTGCTGTCGTCTGCTTTGTCAGGCCGGCTTTTAACTTTTTTTATGGTTTTCTCTTCATTAATTGAAAACATGACGGGGTGCTCTCGGGGCCTGATGGATGGAGCAGGAGAATTGAGAAAGCCATTAGCTTCCCTGGAATCACAGCCTGTCAAGGAGTCAATACACACTGCTTTATGTGTCTGCAAGCAAAGATGGAACAATTATCCCTTTTATTAGGCAGCCGTGACGCGCACGGGCGCGCGCACACACACCGCAGCGCATCGCTGGCAAGGAGGAGGGCAGCAATAACGATCAGCTAAAATCAGTCATTCATTACTGTCAAGTACACCTGACTCACAGCTTATTAAAATCTGGCTTAATAGAAGCAAGGAGAACAAAAAACTTAATTAGTAAACAATTGTGGTTAGTAATCTTCAGAATAAATAGACATTTTGTGACTCTGACTTACAGAGCCCTTTTCTTGCTTTATGTTAAATTAAGCTACACGTTTCATTTGCATATGCATCTCATTAAAACTGTTTATGCGGCCCTACATAACAGTTTATCGATTTATTGAGTCCACGCACTCAATGCCTTGTAAGACTGCTCATACTCCAAAACATTTTCTCGTTTTGTCACGTTAAAACCACAGATTTCACTGCATGCAATTGGGAATGTATGTGAGAAGACCAGCAAAAAAGGAGGAACAACTCAATAGAAAAGGGATGCATTGTTTACAGTTGGCTTAAAAATAAAAAGCCAAAGAGTGTGGTTTTCATATGAATTCAGTTCCTCTGAGTCAACACTTTGTTGAACTTCTGTCTGCTGCAATTACAGCTGCGAGTCTTTGGGCTAACAAGTAAAAGACACAATCTTTGACCAGTTGTTACATAGGTGCTCAAGCTTCGTCAGATTGCACAGACTGAATGTGAACATGCATTTTAAAGTCTTACACCGAATTCTTAATTGAGTTTACATCCATTTTTTTTGTCGAGACCTTTCCGAAACATAAACAGATTTTGATCTGAACCATTACAAGGTAGATCATTGTCCTGTAGCCGTGATGTCGGCCTCCAGACCAGATAGTTCAAAATGTTTCGACCTCCTAACGGGTTTTCAGCTCTGACTGGTTTTACTGTGAGACGCTGCCACCGTGTCGCCTGTTACAGATGGGTTTCCATGCTCTGCCACTTTCGACGGGAAGAAGTGTCTTGGTAGGTCTGCACTTGTACCAAACTTTTAACATTTTTGGATGGTTTGGACAAAGCAGTCCACAGAAACTCGTCCTTGTGCTTTCAGGAATGATGAAAACCGAAGTGGTCCGATGTGGCTGGAGTTTCCTCCCAGATAAATCCACAGGTAAGCATAGGAGAAAACACTGACTGGATGTAGAAGCAAGGAGGGTAAGGATACAGTTTGAGCTCCTTGGCTGAAACTGTCAAGCATCTCTAGCGGTGAACAGATTCAGAAAGAATGAACCAACGGGCACAGGAGACATGCAAGTAACTAGAATTGATGCTAGACTCTGCTACGCACAGCAGGTTGATCATCGGACGGCGCTTAGCGTAGCTGCATGCATCGTCTTTAAGTCCCCTGCAGTCGAATCAGTAGATCAGCATCAGGTGTGAGTACTCCAGTACGCTCAAAGAATATAAGCAAGCAAACAAATCACAAACATTAAACTCAAATAAATGTCATCTCAGTTTTTCACATAATTTGAAAAATGTGAAAAAAAAAAAAAAAAACTTCAAGAGGTAATTCAGACTTTTGCCAGGCACAGTGTGAGTGAACTGTTTACAGAGATTAGAGTATTTTTAATACGTGTTAATCCATGATAAACACATGCAAACACCTAATGAATGCAAAGCCATTACAAAACTTAGACAGATTCCCAAAGAGCATCTGGCCTCTCATGGGGGTCATACCCCCCCTGCCACCCTCGCTGGACCGGAGCTAAGCAGCAGAAGGTCACAAGTTCACGAGCCAGCGGCTTCTTTTGTAATGCCGGGACACTGAAGGCTTTCTGCAATCGATACAACAGGTACAGGAAGTAGCTGAGAAAGCAGCAAAATGAACAATTCTCTGAGGGGAGACCAACATTGATGCTAATGAACAAGCGTGCAGTGAAAAGATAAAGTACAAAATTGTTGGGATTATAGCATTTAAATCAATCTGGCCAAAAACGAATGCGAAATATTGGTAATGACTCCATGTTTGTGTTTGAGAAAGGAAAAGAAATTTCAGATTGTGTGTGTGGGGGGGAGGAGAGTGATTTTTTTTATTATTATTATTTTTCATCACCTATTTGCCGTTTTTTTATATAAGCAGTGAAGCACTTTACATAAGATTTATTACATCCAAGCAGAAATATTATCTTCTGAGGGTGCCATTCATCACCCGGGCCATGAGACGCTGTGAATGATACCACCAAATTATGTAAATCAGCCATGTCTGAGGGGACGATTCAATTTGGTAACCTTGGTAACCCCAGGTACTCAGAACAACCAGACTCCCCATCACAAATCACCCGATTTTTGGCACATTACTTTGAAAAGGCAATAAAAAAAAATTAAAAAAAACATCTACGCATGCACACAGTACATTAACACAATCTGTGTGCTATACATTCAAACATACCAGCAACTATATAAACACAAACAGTGCACAGAA